AAAAAAAAGAATGTTGCAGTTGAATCATTCCCTATTATTTATCCAAAAGGTGTTAAAATAGAAAAATTCGATATAATTGATTTTCCAACAGCACCAATAAGTAATTTTTTTAATTCATTAACTGATAAAATTCATGTTCATCTTAATGCTAAAAAACAAAATAAAGTACTTGTTCATTGTATGGCTGGCATTAGTCGAAGTAATTCGAAATCGGTTTAATATCGGTTTTTTTTGGTTTCTATTTGTTTTTTTCTTTAATTTAGGTACCACAATTGTTTGTGCTTATTTAATGCGTTATATGAATATGACATTACGAGAAGCATATTTATTATGTAAAAAACATCGGCCAATTTGCTTTCCAAATTTAGGATTTTGGAGTCAACTTATTGCATATGAAAATCAACTACAAAAAGAAAATAGTGTTAAAAGTAAGAACATAGTCTTGACATTTTTTAAATGAAAATTTAACTTTTGAGTACTTAATCAGTAGTGGTCGGATTTCATGAGTTCTGAACTCCTGAAACTCTCAAAAGTGCAACTTCTCTCAGAAAGGTGTGGATTTCGGTGTCGACTCTCTCTACACCCTATTTGAATATCCACGGAAAAGATTGTACCATATATTTGTCATGTCTCGTGACATAGCGAATTTCAGAATGTAAGATTTCACTGCAATTGTTTAAAATTTATGAGTAAGCAAAGCGTGATGATGTCAGATTTTGTGTAAAACGCTAAGGTTGATCTGTTACCTAAATTTTAGCAAATTCTTGAATTCCGTAGATTCCATGAGTTCAGAACTGGCGGAATCCGGACACATCTCTTCTATCTATCTTGGGGTACATTTCTTCCCAAGACTTTTACTTGATCCCACAGAGATGAAATAAGGAAGTAGCTGATATATTTAGGGCATAGCAAAAGTTCTAGCCACAGCGTTTAAAGAATCTTTTCCGATAAGGAGATCTATTGAGAAATGAAAAATCAAATATATCATGTTGTAAAGCTTTTTGAGGCGCGTCGAATGATATATAGTAAATTCTGTTTTCATAAGACTTTAAAGAATCTAGAGTCAATTTACTGTAGACAACTACACATCTATACCCAAGTATGATCAGTTTCTGAATACTGTGGTCCTTGGTATTAGTCGAAAGTATTTGTAAAATCTTTTTTCTTACATACAATTTTGTAGAGTTTTTGATGGGCTACAACCTTCTATAGACAGCGTCTCCAGTCATTTTGTCAATATGGGTGTAGGTGTGGTTGTGTAGTTGTCTATTGGTAAATTAACTCTAAGTTCTTCAAGGTCCTATGAAAATAAGATTTACTATATACCATTCGACGCGCCTCAAAAAGCTTTACAACATGCTATCTTTGATTCTTCATTTCTCAATAGGTTCCCCTATCCGAGTAGATCCTTTAAACACCGTGACCAGAATTTTTGGTATTCCCTATGTATATATCTTGACTTGGTTGGATATTTAGTGATACCAACTCAATTTGGTAATGTTCCCGATGTTGCATATGAAGAAATAAAACAATTACGTGCTCAACAACAACAACTTGGAACGATATCTTTATCTGCATCATCGTTTACTTCTACAATAAATAATAATTCTACTAATAGTAGTAATACAAATATAGATACAAATTCTAATCAAACTCGACCAACTAATCGAGATACATCCATTAATCATTCAAATGGTGTTTTACGATCTCGATCATTATATTCAAATGGTCGACCAACGATTGCGCCTGCTTCAACATATATTAATAATTCAGTTTATCAATCACCATTACTTACAACTAATAAACAAACATTCCTAACACCAGCACGACTTGGTATACATCGATCATTTAATAATGGCACAGCACATAATAATAACAATAATAATAATAATAATAATCATACTATTACTAATAATAATAATAATAATCATACTAATAATAATAATAATAATAATAATAATACACTTCCACCCGTACCCAGTATATCATCAACTTCTTATGTTAGTAATCGAAGTTTACCAACAGCTATAAAACATCGACATATGACTAATAATCGTAATCATCCATCAACTGTTACTATTAATACAGCAGCAGCAACAACAATAAATAATGATGAACAACATTCAACTTATGAAACAACATATCGTTCAAGTTTTTTTAAACCATTAGTTCCTTAAAAAAGAAAAAAAGCAGATTAATTTTGTTTTTTTGTTTCATTTGAATGATTGTATGCTTGAATGAACGTGATACGCATTTGTATTTTATCTCATTATCTTTTTTTTTTGTGTTGAATGTCAGATGCGTGTCTTCCATTTTGTTTTTCTTCTATGATTGTTAATAAACAAAAAAATAATATTCTTCTCGGTGTGTGTCAAAATAGAATATTAAATCATATTTTAAATTTTTATTTTATTCTAGAAAAGTTGTAAATATGTTAGGTATTACAGAAGTTACAGATAATTTATATATATCTGGTCTTGAATCTTCTACAGCGATATTAAGCAAAGGTATACGTTCGGTTATTAATATATCATCTGAATGTCCAATGCAAGATCTTGGTCCAACAGTTGATTATGAAAAAATTAGTATACCAGATTTGCCAACAACATCAATACAACCTTATTTTGATCGATTAGCAGATCGAATTGATCAAAATTTACGACAAGGAAAAAAAACACTTGTTCATTGTTATGTTGGACGATCAAGATCAGCATCGATTATTTTAGGTTGGTTTTAGTGATTCATAATCAAATGGTTTAATCGAAACTATGTAGTCCAAATGAGTTGTGAATATCCTAAAAAAGTGTTCATACCCTTAGCTTATTCTTGTGGAGATATTGCACTTGTATGATAAGTTTTCAAATGAATGCTGTGATCTCTCTCAAGAACACTAGAAAAACTGATTTTCAAGTCGAACTATGAAAATTAGTTATTTCTGGTGTTTCTGAGGGAAGTGACGGGATCTATATTACAAAATATAATAAAAGCGCAGTATCTGCACAGCAATAAACTAATGGTATGAACACTTTTCAGAGTATTCATAGTTTATTTTGGACTACATAATGCACATGGTCTTGGCTGAAAAGTGATGTATCATTTGAAGACTTCTCTCATTAGATTCATGAATTATAAAGAAAATCTAAGAAATTTATGTGACAAAATTTTGTAGAAGAAAATTCTTTTCTACTAGATCACGTATCTTAAGTTATGAAACTCGGTAGTTATTTTTTGAATGTTATCATATAATGTTCGCAGAATTTTTGGATCAAGATAATTCAACTCTCACTCATAAAGAA